TGAAATGAACTTTAGCACTTTTTAAGTGCTAAAATCACATACTGGACCTAGACCTGCTTGCACAGGACGCTTGTACTTCTTAAAAGAGTACAGTTTCATAGCTAGAGAGGAATAAATTCCTAATCTCATACTGAGATAGCACTATTTATCTTGAGAGACACAAACACATTTTACTGTTTACACCAATATACCTGAAGGCTCTCATCAACAATAGCAAGATACTGTGGCACATTTCCAACATTCAGGTCCTCTTCACCTTTTTTCACACCCTAAGTGATGTCCTCTCATGTCTTAGTTCTTTTTTTCTCCTAATTATCACCCCATTTTCCTCTCTGGCTTTGCTAAGAACCAAGCTTCTGCCTCACAAATGCTAATTTTTAGTAACTACCTGTTTTACCTAATGGCAAACAGACAGAAGACGGTTTCATCATCTCTGCAAGATCTGGATAATTAAGGGAATTATTTATAACTGGGAAAAGCAAAATGTTTGCCCATGCTGTCTATACCAGGTGTAAATGAACTGTATGTATCCCTTAACTGTAAGCTACTACTCCAGCTACTTCTGCAGTCATACAGACAAGACAGCAACCTTTGCAGTGAAATTTTGCTAAAAAGTGTCAAGGAGAAAAATATGTTGACTGTAGCTAAAATAGAAGTGTTGTTGGTTAGGTGTAGTTGCTGTAGTCACGATCATCTTTATTTCTCTGTTATGTGTCTGCTTTACTAAGAGGTAGGAACTTAAATCCAAAATAGTAAAAAAAATATAAAATATATTTTACTTAAACTGAAAAAAAAAAGCAATAAACACTTACATGGTAAATAAATTCCTGGGCAATTGTATGTCCACCAGAAGAAAAGAGCAAAAAGTTGGTAAGAAGATGTGTTATAAGATGCTGGTTACAACACTGCTCTGTATCCGTTATACTGTGTACAGCCGCCTCCAGGTCTTTGACAGAAAGGACTGTACAGCTGAAGAGCTTCATTAAATGACTGTAGACTGCTTGAGCTTCTACCTGTAAGAAACAATTTCAAATGATGCAGGATCAGAGAAGAATAAAGGTCATACCTATGGTATTTTTCCTTTGGACTTACTCACTAACAGGAAACTGTATCCTTGGCAGAAACTACCCAAACATGAAAACAGTTTGAATTTAAGCAGGAGGGAAAACAGGGAAGGAAGGGCTGTACACATTTCTTTTATAGTGATGCACACACACAAAGGTGGACAGAATGGATTTTTTAACTTTCTTTGGTCTTGAAAATTAAGCAGGCAGGGCATCAAGCCAGGATCTGACCTTTTTTAATAATAAAAGGAAATGGAGAAAGTCCCTCAGCAGAACATGGTCAGATTTTTGCATTGTGAGAAAAAGAACAGAGGCTCCTCAAGGGCACGTTTCAGTATTGCTGCTACAAATCAATTAAATCCCCATGCAACCTGACCTCGACTGATAAAATGTTCTAGTAAGAATGCAGTTTTTTCTTTCTTCCTGTGTTGTTTGCAACTTATATTTTTACCTTTTGAGTTAGCCAATAAAAACTAATTTTTACTGGGAGTAGAAAACAGAAGGTTTTGGCACCTACACAATGGAAAAAGAACTATAAGTAACTATTGCAAAAAATCCTAACAATAATTCTGTTCATTGTATTAAAAATAAACTAAACAAACTGGTAGAAAAACCCGAATGAGTAAGTATAGGAACAATGGGAAAATACACCACTGCAGACCCAAAGGAAAAGGACACACGTTTGTCAACCATGTTCATTAGGACAATTTGTTTCAGTCATTTACCTGATCTGGCTTTCCTCATCCCTGCCCTATCAACAATTCCACATAAAATAGTCTGAAAAAAATGCTGTTCTTTAATTATATTCACAATTACATGTGAGGCAACAAATGATACCAAAACCTGAAGAAAGTTAACTGGAATTTTTCAAGATCCATTATCCCTCTGTGCATCCTATGGTTTGCCTCCATCCCATGTGCTAGAGACTGAAGATTGACAGTCCGCTTGATTCGCTCTGCTCCATGAGCTCACGTGCCCTGGGAGAGTCATTCTTAGTGCCAAAGTTACTATGACCAACCTCCAAGTTTTGTTCCTCCAGTGTTTCAGAGTCTAAAGGTTGAAAGGACACCAACAAATGACTAAATACTGAGGAGCAGAATATTTAGTCCTGCACATATGAGTGAAGTCTAGTGAACCACTAAAGTAGTCCTTTTCTTCTTCAGATCATTTTAACCCTATGTATTCTGCTCTTGCTGATATATAAGCTGCTACCTGAAGTCAGTAGCAGGAAGACAAAATCATAAGTCATGACTGCACACCTTTTCCACACAAAAATACACTGAAAGAAAAGTCCTCCAGCTTGGCATCTGCCAGAAGTTCCTACCCCATCTTAATCCTTAACTGGTGAAAGGTGCAGGGGTTGAGGAGGAAACCACTGCATTTGACAGTGCTGAGAGCTAACCTGCCAAAGGACAAATTAAAAGAAAAAGAAAATATCTAACTAAAGGCAGAAGATTTGCATGAACTGTAGAAATGCGTCTGAAGTAGCCTGAGCTGTGGAAAACAAAAAACCTTCTTACTTGAAGTAACTAAAGAAGAATCATAATTAACTGAAATATTAGACCTCTGGGAAGAGATGAGTAACTGCGTGGGCTGTCAGTGGAAAAGCTTTTTTCTCACTGAAGTTTGTCATACATTATGACAGAATAGCAAACTGATATAATAGGGGACACACAGGTAGATGATTTTATATACGAGACAATGTGATTTCATTCTGTGATGCTGCAGTTAGAACAATATTCCATTCATAGATCTGCACCTATAGTCCTTCAATTTCTTTCACTCGTGTTTATTGCTTGGGTATTGCCTTCTTTCCCAAAGCTGCCTTCTAAAACCAACCTTGATTTTTTTATTTCACTGTAGCACTAACCTAACTCTGCTCAGCCAACATTCCACTCCTGCTCCTAGACTATAAGAAATTGAAGAGGAAAAAAATTAAAAAGTGATTGGGATGTGAGGTTGCATTTGTAGTGCCATCTGGGTCATGTGAAGGGAATGGAAGGAAGTAAAATATTGCAGAACACACTGTTGTACGTGGACCATTAGATGTAAAATGAAAGCATGATGTTTTACCAGTATGGTGTGCTGAGCTGCATTTTTAAATCAAACAGAATCCGTTTTCGAACTAAGGAAAACTAGAGATGCTGCAGCCAGATTTTGAACCTGGGCTTTGTAGATCAGATTACTTGGGCTAGTTCAAACTTGTATAACAAGTCGAAATTAAAGCCTTTCCTGTATTTGCATGCACACGCAGACATACAGCACTAATCATGCAGTACAATGTGTGAGGTCAGAACACTGCTTCCTTCTGTTAGAAACCTAGCATATAGGAATATAACATACTTGCTACAATCTTGTAAATGCCAAAAATCAGTAAAGATATGTAAGAGAAATCAGAATAGATGGGCAAGGTTAGGATAAATATCTTTACTGCTTTTACTGCTGTTGTGATTTCTCTTGTGTTTCCTTCTCAGAAGATGCCATAACACAGGAATGATGAATTCTGCCACACAGTGATTTAAAAAAAATACCATTCCTGGAGTAGTTTTAGTTGTGATTAAAAGCACCCAAATTATCCATAAGAAAGTGAAGAAGGTGCTAATCTATATAATATACTTTAAAAAGTGGAAAAATGTTTTCTAAATGTCACAAAGGAAATCCACAAAAATTATCTTTCAACTTCTCCACTGCACCGCAATTCCCAGGAGACCTTATAAAGCCAATACCTTCTCCAGTGCAGACGTTTCATTTTTCTGGTCTGCACTATTTGTTTTATAGCAATATAAGTAGATTATTGACTGCTTATTGCTGCTTACTACCAGTACATTACCCACCATTATCTGAGTCCTTTGTTGATTTTCATTCTGAGGACAGTAGTAAAATGCCAGCAGCCACAGCAAAGCATCTGGTTCTACAGCAGCCTTCAGTAATTGTTCTGCCGCAATATCCAGCCATTCTCCAAAACGAGCAACCAAAAACCAGATTTCAAAAAGGTCAGCAAGAGAACTGGAAAATAGCAGAGATACAATTAAGTATTTCTTGTTATTTAACATTTTTAAATGTCTTAAGTTAACTGCAAAGAGTGCTGGCATGAAAATAAAAATCATTAAACTACTCTTCAACAGATAATGCCTTACCTGCTAAGCATACAGCCATGTACTACTCTATTATCTGCAATCACAGTTAAATGAGACACACCCATTGCTGCTAAAAAATTAACTTTGTTAGTAGAACAGACTATCCATAACAGCAATTTCTGGTGACAATATACTATGTATTAAAATATACATCATAAAATTTAGCCTTATCATTTATACTCTCCAGTTTAAGGATTTTCAGACTTCAGGGAACTAGATAGGTGTGAAAAAATCTGAGACTAAAATTCCTTAGCTAAAGGAACAGGATCAGCACCGGTAAAGTCTTTGCACATACTAGAATCTGGAAATGCAACCTTAAAAAACTTTGAAAAAACAAACGTGATAGTGATCTAGGAAAACAGCCCTCCCCTCAGCAAAATAATCTACTTATCTGACCGTAATTCAATGCTGTGACAATGTAAGTGGAAAGACTCGCTCTGAAATCCAGTGACGCACAGTCAAAGATGAAATTTAATTAAAAGTTAATTACTGAGAACACATCACTATACTAAAGGAAAAATTGACTGGATTTATGACTGGAAGTGTTCATAGCTCAAAGGGTAAATACAAGTCCTTAAACTTCAAGCATGAATTTTAACAGGTACTTAGCAGAAGACAATTCAGTTCTTGCCTGGTGACCTTAGGCACCATGGCACTTACAACTCTCCATAACTTTCCTGTACCATCACAGTGCCTGGTTTGGAGTTGTGTACCCTCCACTTCTGTTCCCACTGCTGTTTCTGCCCTTTCTGTAGTGGCACCTCTGTCAACTGCTCCACTGTTGTTGCCATAAGTGGCCCATCACTTTTTCTGGGACTTCCTCCCCACCCCCCCCCAAAAGGTACCTCAGTCATTTTCTGGTTTAAAATGTCACATAATATTTACTGTTCACTAAGACGACTACATATAATAAGAAATAATGGCACAGAAGCAATCTGTTGAGTAGAAGTACACAGAAATCACCATGCTCTAAGACTTACTATTGAAAAACAAGCTATATAAACAGAGCACTGACTACCGGAAGCAAGAAGATATGTTGTAGAGTTGCATTTTTTGCTCCTTTGTTAATCTTGTTAAGTAGAAAGGATGCAGAATCAGGAATAAAGCAATAAAAGAAAATTGAATACAGTTTCCTCATGGATATTAGTATTTAAAAACTTAAGCCAGACCCATTTTCTTTGTAACTGAGAGGGGTTTGTTAGAAAACATAATTGTTGCATGAGCTCTGAAGTAAGAGGATATTCTGGCAAGTACAATACTATTGAAATTAGTGTACTATCAAAGCAAAGCGGGGAAAAGACAATATAAGCCAAGAAAGGGCTAGGCAACAAAGGGAGAACAGACATGCTTCTATTATTGTAATACATTATGATGGATGATATTTGTTTTATTTGTTTGTTCTGAGCTTGAGTTATGTGTTTCTTTAAGAAGCCAGGGTCAGCTACTGGTCACACTCCAAGGGCAGAAAGAGTTGACAGACTTCAGGGATGAACAGGCAAGACATAGCACTGAACTGCAGCTCATACAGAAAGAGAGAAACTGCCAGCAGACAGCCTGGCCTCTCAATGAACAGCAAAAAGCTTTTTTCTGCCACTCAACAACAAAAATAAAAGCCTCCATGAGTTAACTGAAACCAAGTGTGGATGCAAGTATCTGCCTTCCAGGATACGGGAACAGTTGGGTATCTTGTTTTGCAAGTCTATCTGGTCTAGGTGTTCTGTGTTTCCATTGAAATATTTTGGGTTTTAAATCAAAATGAAATTGGTTCTTTGAATTTAAAAGCTGTTTAATATTCTTTGGAAAGCTCACTCTTGGAGCAGATCTAAGCAGACTCATATCCAAGCTCTAGCTGGGTCAGGCATAATCACATACCTGATAAGAAACAATTAAAGGGCAGCAACAGATAGAGATGTATCTTTTTTCATTCTTTTCATATAGTCCTAAAGAATCTACTATCAAAGCAGTAGTAGAATTAATGTAGACAAACACTGTCATTCAGCATAGCAACTATTTGGACAAAAAAAGCTAAGGGCAACAGGTCAGAAACATGGGGTGTCGACTCAAGACTAATAAACAGTGACACTGCAGTCTAACAGTCATATCTTTATAAAAAAAATCAAGAAGTTTGAAGTTTAGATGTTTGTACAAGCCTGCTGAGAGCCAGTACAATCTCCTTCATAAATCAGCGCTGCTCACGACAGGCTGTTTCCAATGCTAGCTGCTTTTCTGGTTGGAAAAGCTCTCTTGTTATTCAATCTAGAATCAGTTTTAAAAGTTTTGGGGAAAAATGAGAGAGTAGGCAACTAAACATTTCTGTTATACAGCTGGCTATTTGCTGAAAAGAACAAGATTTTGTTTACTCAGAGGCTTATTGGTCAGGTCCATAAGTGCTACAAAGTTCAGGTTCAGCAAGTATTATTATTCTAATAATAAGAAAATGATGAAATGTAGCCACCAAAGACTTCAAATGACATGACTTTTCACAACGTAACATATGCAAAGGACGAATTTAGAAAATATAGTACTGCTTACCTAACGCTTGTATCTTCTACTAATGCTTTGAGCATATCTGAAATGTGTTTCAGGTGTTGAGACCAGTGTATAGTTGGCAGTTCTGAGGAGGGAGGATGAAAACAAAACTCTTAAAAGTCTAGTCTGTCCAACTAGAACACAAGAGTGAAATTAACCATATTAAGCTAGCATTAAAATTTGTGCAACTTGATTCAGTTATCACAAAGGATTTAAAATTTCATTTTAAATTTTCCCAATTTTTAACAATACTGTGTTTCTTAGAACAATTCATTGATAAAGCCATGTGAGGAAGTACAGCTAGGAATACTCAAATGAGGTTGATGTACCCTTCTGTAAATGCTACCTGAATATTAATATACAGTCAGTGGAGTAACATTCTTAGCTCTTACACTGAGTTGAAATTATTGCTCATGAAAAACTGTACCATACTGAGCAGCAGTTTCTTGATCTATAAAAATGGGAAACCTGAAAAAAATATTACCTTTCCAACCTAAAAGATCAGCAGAATTCAAGTTTCAGAGACAAACAGCAAGGCTATTTCTTGTAATATACATATGAAATTTTTCATAATGACAATTACTAATACTACAAGATAAAAATATTTAGTATTTTGACAATCTCAGTAACTTGTCTTCATTCCTACAAAATTACGCACTCTTTCTTTGTTATTCACTTCTGGTTTAGTTTTATGTAAAGTTAAATCTCTATTATTGTTCCATGAGAATTAGATGTTCCTGCAAAAAAATACATTAAAAGAATATTATTAAAATTGCTAAGTCAACACACCCTATTTAGGAAATAGCAAAGGATGTCTTCATCCTTTTTAAAGTCATTTAAAAACATATACAGATCATGCAGGTTGGCTAATGCTGCAAATATTTGATGAAGAAACTTACCAAAAGGACATCTGAGTAAAGCTGTTACAAGAGGCTGGTGATGGTAAGGGAAGTAGGCCTTCAGTGGAAATTTATGCTAAGATACAAAATCATTATTTTAAGAACTTTCTGGTCAGTTTTCAAAACAAACCCACAGTGAACAATCTCATCTAAGGTAGTAATTAACAATAGTAATAATAGTAAGGTAGTAATTAACAATACAGACTGAAGCAAGGCAACACAAAAGTAACTCTACAGTTAATTTTAGGATTTTGCATAAGGAAAGATGGGGGATATTTAGGAAAAGCTTGCTTAGAAAAAGTTATTTATGGATTTTTAAAATACATGCATTTAAAAGATTCATAGTATGAAGAAAATTAGATATTAATATTCTTAGGCTTTTCCCCTGCAATCACAAAAACTTCACTCTTAATATGTAGAAGTTAAAAGAGACACTAATTAGTGTAATTTCATTTTCCAGTGTAAACAGATCCACAGATCATATTAAACTAGGAACTAATACCATCTACAAAATCTGAGGCTTTGATGTAGGTTATTGCCTTATATTCAAAAAAGGAAAACTAAAAATTTTAGGGTCTGAATCAGCACAAATGGGGTAGTTGTAGATAACGGACTTGGCCTCTATTTATCTGGGTACATGCAACATTACTGCTTGTGTAATTAGGACTACAAGCAGCACACCTTTACTCTTTTTGTTCTGCAAACATCTATTACAGGCATGCTAATGTGTAGCATGCATGTGCAAGTGCAATATGAACTTCCTTTGAGGTGGATTGAAAACTGGCTGAATGGGTGGGCCTGGAGCGGGGGCGGGGGGTCATTGACACAAAGTCCAGCTGGAGGCCAGTAACTAGTAGTGTACCCCAGGGGTCAATACTGGGTCCAGTCCTGTTTAACATCTTTATTAATAATCTGGATGATGAGGCAGAGTTCCCTCAGCAAGTGTGCTGGTGACACTAAACTGGGAGGAGTGGCTGATACACCAAAAGGTCATGCTGCCATCCAGAGGAACCTTGACAGGCTGGAGAACTGTGTTAACTGAAGCCTCATGAGGTTCAGCAAGAAGAAGTGTAAAGTTCTGCAGCTAGGAACAACCCCAGGCACCAGTACATGCTGGGAGCCAGCCAGTTGGAAAGCAGTTTTGCAGAAAAGGACTTGGTGGTCCTAGTGGACACCAAGTTGATGTGAATCAGCAAGGTGCCCTTACTGCAAAGGCAGCAAATGGTATCGAGCTGCACTAGGCAAAAGATTGCCAGCAGGTCGAGGGAGGTGATCCTTCCCCTCTCCTCAGCACTGGTGAGCAGCCACTGCAGCAGCCAAACCTGGAGTACTATGTCCAGTTCTAGGCTCCTTAGTACAACAGAGACATGGACATACTGGAGAGGGTTCAACAAAGGGTCACAAGGACAATTAAGGATCTGGAGCATCTCTCCTACGAGGAAAGGCTGAGAGAGCCTGGAGAAGAGAAGGCCTAAGGGAGCTATTATCAACGTATCTAAATACCTGAAGGGAGGGTGCAAAGAAGATGGAGCTAGACTCTCTTCAGTGGTGCCCAGTGAGAGGACCAGAGGCAATAGGCACGAACTGAAACACAGGAGGTTCTGTCTGAATAGCAGAAGCCAGGGGTTTTGGGGGTTTTTTTTCAAACTGTGAGGGTGACCAAGCATTGGCACAGGTTGCCCAGAAGGACTGTAGAGTCTCAGTCCTTGGAGGTCTTTTACAAGCTGTCTGGACATGGTCCTGGGCAACTGGTTCTACGTGGCACTGCTGGAGCTGGGGGGTTGGACAAGATGACCTCCAGAGGTCCGTTTAATTTCTTTTCATTTTCTGTCATATCAGTCTTCAAGTCTCCATACCAATGACTTTAATACTCTTCAGTCTCCTTTCTTTAGGAGGACTGCTTAGCAAATAGATCATCTCTTGAAACGCAGACTGGGAATACAGACTCAGTTTTTTGTTCTGTAAACCACAGTTAGTTGAAATTACAGTATTCTCAGACAGTCTGTGTAACTGGTATGGTAAAACCCTAAAAGTCTACTTGTCAAGTGGAATTAGGTCAATTAAAAATTAACAATCTCTATACTAAAGTATGCGTGTAGCCAATTAGCTTGCACCAAAGATCCCCATGAAAAGCAGCCCTTGACACAGTTAGCAGTAGCCAAGACAACCTACAGCATGAGTTACATATGAAAACAGTATTTTAAAGTAAGTGAAAACCAGTTTTCAGTATACTGTTTAAGCAAAGCAAAAAAGGTTTGCTTCCTGTCATACAAACACAGTATTTTAGGCAGTTCTTTCCTTACATAAGCCATCACAAAGTACAAAACAATGTACAAAGAGACAGAACAAGTTTGGATGTGGCTGGTTATAATAACTGCCATGATATATAACAGGAAACAAATGTTGAACATTGGCTTGAAATATTTATCCAGCTATTTAAAACAGAATTCCCAGATGAAAACCACTGACAATTCTGAAATGATCAAGGGAAAATAATCCTGGAGGAAATTATAATTTCCATCAAATAAAAACATGAACTCTAAATTCATAAATTTGCAAGTAAGATGACCCAAATATCCTTAGGTCAACTTTCACTGCCATCACAAACTTGAAGGAAATCTGCTTGTACAAAACACGTAAAGGATTATCCCAACAGTGATCTCAGTACACCCATCCTTAAATTTCTTATTTGATGACTACACAAATGATCTGTTTTCCTAAGTAGGTTTAAACCCTATGTTCCATTTATGCCTTCTTCAGTGTCCCAAAACACAGGAAACAGGACTATTCTTAAACCCTGTAGCACTGTTTTTTCATACTCCTCAGGTTTTTTCTGCCAAACCTTGTTCTCTAAATAGTCTATAAAGTTATTAGAAGACAGCTATTTCTGACAGCTGCCACACTGCAATAGGAATCATTCTCCTCCTGGCTTGCAAACCCGTGCAGCTGCCAGATATGACCTGGTTCTTTTGAAAATTTTGTGGACACATCTGTTTGCCTAGCCTTTTTTTCAATTAACTGTACTATAAATTCCTAAGGTCTCAGATGACCCAGCCAGAACCCTCTTCATCCTCTGTCATTAATGGTTTTACCATTCTGCTGTGAAATGCTAACAGAGCACATTATGTCCTGTCAAGGGCATCCAGATACCACAAAGATGGGTGCCTAATGAATAAATGTAATACTGGTATGACAAAAAAATATCATCTGTTTTAAACAAAGTTTAGGAAGCAGTTTGTGCATGTTTGTACACCAACTGTTAGTTAACATTATGGTTGTTTCCTAAACTGTGAAACAAGGTATTTAAAATTCTACTATTGAAGATAATACCTTAATTAGACCCTCATGAATTACACTGTATACAAGTTAAATAGAGGAAACTTAATATTTAAAACCACTTCCAAAAAGTGGGCAATAGTCCGTATCACAGTGCTGGCAGGTGAAGGACTTTTACCCTGAAGCAAACACATCACCTGCACAACAGGATTAGCTCTTGGGTGTCTGATGGGTGTGGAATCTCCAGTGTCCCTCTCCACTCAGCCACCCCACCTGGAGTTACACAGCATGCTGTTGCCATGCAGTCAGGGTGGCATAAAATTAACATGCACAGCACCTGCATATTAAACAAGACAGCTGCAGTTTCATCCTTAATTCATATTGCCTGAAACTAAAAGACAGATTCAATCACACTGCTAATTAAAGGCCAGTACGTCACAAGTTCCAAGAAGTCCCAAAATTTTCCTAGCTACCATCTCCCCAAATTGATGCAAAAATCAAAGAAACTGGAAATTTTCTTAAGTTTAAAGTGAAAGCTATTAAATGATAAGATACTTTCCAAACTTACATCATATGAATGGGAGTTAAACAACCAAACAAAATGATCAGGATGTGAAATGACAGTGTGATTTGGGAACCTGAAAAGAAGTTTGCAAACTATAAAGAAGATGAGACTTTTTCATATCTCCATTTTGAAATATAAAAATGAGCAAATTATCCTGCTCTTGTTTAAATCAGTACATACAAAAGTAATTCTACTTAATTCAGTTCAGCAAGACCAGTATAAAAATCTGTGCAGAAGAGACACTAAGCTGGGAAATTTGAAGCTTTAGACTGAGGAAAAATTTCTGAGAAATGTTGAAGACCAGAAACTGAAACCAGTATGTATTCTGTGTCTTTTACCTTTAGAACAGACAGGTGTCCTACTTACAATTATTTGGGGGAATGGGGGGTGGGGTTATTATCTCTGTTTCATTTATTATCAGAAACCCTGCTACTGCAAAACAAAAACACATGTAAAGTTTTTTATCCTTTCTATCAAAGATAGAGGATCATGATCATGTTCACTATACAGGCAGAAACTTCAGCACCAGCAGAAATGCCCCTGTGAAAATCACAGTTTAGGTTGCAGGATTACTCCAAGGTAAAGTCAGGTAAATTGCTCTTACATATTGGTTCCACACTACAATTTTATTCACAGGGTGAAAATGTTTAAACTGAACTTTGGCATGCATGTTCAGTTGTAGAGAGATGCTATTATTCAGCCCAATAATAAGTCATCGTTCTTACCAGTAGACTTGTTCTTTTCTTGTGAAATTTTGTATCTTCTCACTGGAAAGAAACATTAAGAAACAGATCTTGACTAACCTGCTTGTTTTCATTCTGATGAGCCTGAAGGAAGAGCTGCGTAAACACTTGTATTATTGTCATAACTTGAGGAGTTCCATCAGTTTCCAACAGTGCATTCCTAGACATTGACAAGTTAGATTATCACAGATCAGATAATTAGTCTGCCTGTCACACCGCTGTTAATTGATGTGAATAAAAAAAAGGTACATTCTTTGTATGCTGTAGATTCACGCTGTGTCTAAGTGCATTATGTCAGTATGGAAACTGATAGAAATACTAACTTTGCAGGCTTTTTAAATTCTATTTTTACTTTTAAAACCACATATGCAACTCCTACAAATAAACTAGATTTAGTATATAATATACATGTGGACACACATAATTTACCCTATGAATAGGAGAAAAAAGTGTAAAATTAAAAAAAGAGACTACCACAACTTCATCAGGCAAATCTGGCATCTGAACCGTCTTACTGGGTTCAGAGCAACTACTCCTACGCCTACAGTTAAGCACAGTTTGGTGCTTTGCAGGACTGCATCCCGTAGGCCATGTCAGATTAGAGAGAAAGTACAATCTAGTACAATCTCCTGGGATGCAGTACCTGGGGAAAAAAAACCAATAAAAAACACAACCCTTGACTTAAACTGTTAAATATAACAATCCTACTGGGGCCAGGAAAACAAACAAAGAAAAGTTGTTGATCAAATTTAAAAGTTACATATTTAAAAAACTACACAAGGAGACCCAACAGAATACAGATGCTGTTCAGTCGCTGTGACTCCTTAGTGATCGTTAAACAATGAATCAGAAGCACAAACAGAAATGAGTATATACCAAAGATCAGTAATTGCTACAGATTTAATTAGGGACCAGTGCATTTCAATGTGCTTTCAGTGGTGAAATCAAAATCCACTCTGGAGGTTCAGGAAGGTGAATGCTTTAACTGGCCTTCATAGGGCATAATGTAACCTTGAGCAAATGGAGCAGAAAAACACATGGGCAGCAAAGTGTAATTTTCATACTCTTATTTGAAAGACATGTAATAGTAAGGAGAAAAAAATGTTCAAAGTAAGCTGCCACTGAGATACAAGATTTTTAATAGAAAATTGTTGCTTTTTTTCCATAATGATCTAAAAGATAAGAACAGCTAACACATTACTGTAACAGAGAATATTCACAAAACAACAGGCAAATATAATCACTAATACAAGAAATAGTAGACAGAAACTCAAGACAGTCTAGGTGTATGGATTTCTGTATAGCTGCACATAGCAAGAAAATAAACTTCTACTTGGGAAATAAAAACACAAGTTGATATTCGTGGGATAAAACCATTTAGCACAATCAATCTCAATAAAAAAATGAAAATATCAGGAAAAGTTATTCTTAGATCCGTGCTTGTAACAGAATATTAACCTCCAAAATAAAAGGAGCTTTCTGCCAGGTGTAGAAACATAACAGTTTCCAAGCAATGAAGTACAAGTTCTTCAGCAGCAGCCCCCTAAAATCTCACATGTGACTAAATCTGGAATAGAATCTTAACGTCTGCACCCACTTGACAATACTTCTGACAAGGATGTCAGAAAAATACAACAAAAATGACCACAAAGGTGCAGAAACCAATTGGTTTGCAAAAGCCAGCTAATATATACAGCTCCACATAAGACCAAGTGGACCTGAAATATAGTATTTTAAAAATATATTAAGGGTTTAGTACCAACTGTCCTGGTTTTGGCAGGGATAGAGTTAATTTTTTTCCTAGCAGCTGGTGTGGTGCTGTGGTTTGGATTTAGGATGAGAACAATGTTGATAACACACTCATGTTTTCACTTGTTGCCAAGCAGCCGAGGACTTTCCAGCTTCTCACACTGCCCTGCCAATGAGAAGGCGAGGGTTGGCCAAGACCTTGGGAGGGGACACAGCCAGGACATCTGACACAAACTGGCCAAAGGGATATTCCATACCGTATGATGTCAGGCTCATTATAGAACTGGGGGGGTGGGCCAGGAGGCAGGGCAGCTTGGGATCTTGTGGAGCATCGACTGCAGGTGGTGAGAAATTGTGCTGTTCATCACTTGTTTTGTATATTTATTTATTTATTTATTTGTTGTTATAGAACTAGGGGGTGGGCCGGGAAGCAGGTCAGCTCATCAACTTCGGGTGGTAAGAAATCGTGCTGCTCATCACTTGTTTCATATATTTATTTATTCATTATTATTGTTGTTGTTGTGTTATTATAGAACTGGGGGGTGGGCCAGGAAGCAGGTCAGCTCGAGATCTTGTGGAGCATCCACTCGGGTGGTGAGAAATTGTGCTGTTCATCCCTTGTTTCGTATATTTATTTATTATTGTTGTTGTTAATAATAATTATTATTATATTATCATTATTGTTGTTGCTATTATTATCATCTTCCCTTTTTTGTTTTGTCCTATTAAATTGTCTTTATCTCAACCCACAAGTTTTTTTTCCATTTCCACTTTCAATTCTCTCCCCCATCCCACTGGGAGCAGGGAGTGAGTTCACAGGTATGTGGTTATGTTAGCTGCCTGCCGGGTTAAACCATGACACCAACACTGTAGAGGAACAAGCATATGAAGTATAAACAATGGAAAGCAAACAAGGGAGCAGAAATATAGGCTGAGCAACAGGAAAAAATGATTAATTTCTAAGATGATTTGGAACACCAATACAAGTGCAAAGTTTTATTAGGAAATACTCTCCTGGACAAAGTCCTGCATTATCTGAGAAACAGCATCTCATCCATTTTTACTGTCTACCAAATGGAAAGGGTGCAGAAGTTATGTAGTCTCATGTTATTTTTAGAAAATATTTTATATACCATGACTCTAAATAAGCCAAGAAGCCTGAACAAATTTCGTTTCCC